AGTTAGTAGTAGAGAGAGAGAGAGAGAGAGAGAGAGAGAGAGAGAGGGTTTTGCATGCTTGTAGAGCCTCGGTTGGGATGCAGGGAGATGATGAGCCTTGAGATAGTAAATAGCAACATGATAATTTCAAATTATCATATATAATTTCAAAAATCATCATTACTTTTGGTATAACATGCATAATATCAAAACATTAACATTTTCAAACCATCACTATTTTAAATCATCATGTATAATTTCAAAATATAAAATCATCAAGGATGATACCAAAATATTTAATATTTTTAAAATATTATTACTTCTCTCCCTTGGTCATCAACAAAAAAAGAGAAAAAGTGCAACTAGCAAGTTTTGAAATATGCAAGCTGGTAAGTTAACAAGTTTTACTTCACTTTAGAATATGAAAGCTAGCAAGTTTTTGAGATGTGTTAACAATTTTGTTCCTCTTGAGATGTGCAAGCTAACACCTTTGCTTCTCTTTTGAGATGGGCATTCTAGCAATTCTCTTTCTCACCTTTGTTATTTAAAAAATAAGAAGGAGAAGGAAAGGATTCAATGGTGCAAAAATTTACATCAAACTTTCAATCATCATATAAAAAAAATTAAAGATCAAGTCATGAATACCGAAAGATCATGAATCATTCTTTTGTAAATAGTGAAAAGAGAGAATCTTAGGAAATTATCTTGATTCAAAAAGAAAACTCAAGTTATGAAAACCGAGAAATCAAGATAATGATCTGAAAAATATATAAGAAGAATTCATACATTTGGGAGATTTAACATGCCTAATTCTCTTCTAATAAAATCGAATTGCTCCTTAATAATTTAGTAAAATTATTTGCTAATTGATATTTTATGTTAATAAAAACTAAAGAGATATCATTATTATTAATATGATATCTAATAAAATAATATCTAATATGAATGTGTTTAGCTCTAGAGTATTGAATGGTTAACAAATAACACTAGTATTATCATATTTTATAGGGATGTTTTTCAACTAAAGTCCATAGTTTTCTAAAGTATTTTTCATCCAAATAAGTTGTGCACAACATGCACTTGCTGCTACATATTCAACCTTAGTTATAGATAATGTAGAAAAATCTAGGGGTGACATATATACGTAGTAGAAGAACAAAAAATATAAATCTCATATTTTCATAAAAATGTTTCATCGTCGTGCGAAGATTGGTGCAAAAAAACCTACAAAATTGAAAAACTACGTGTATATGAGAGATGTGTGTTACTTAGGGAGACCATATATCCCTGTTTCTATAGATCTATGGGAGAAGATGAAGGTGTTAGGACCATGTCGGTACTAAGAGAGGGGGGGTGGGGGGGGTGAATTAGTGCTTTAGTAAAAACGACGGTTTAAAAATTCTCATTCAATGAAAACCGATATCGGAAAGATGTTAACTTGAAAACACGTTCGTAAGGATTATGAAAGTAAGAAATTAGTTTGCAATGAAAATGAAAAGCTTAAAGTAAATACAAACCAGATTTATAGTGGTTCGATCGTCGTGACCTATATCCACTCTCGATTCCTCTTCACTCGAGGCCATCGACTTCCATTACCGATCTTCTTTCAATGAGTGAAGATCAACTACCCTTACAACTCTTTCTCATTTTCACAGGCTCAAGAGAGAACCTTTATAGCTCTCTTTTAGACCTCACTTATACCTTAGAAAACTTCTAACTCTAGGAGGAAGAGACTCTAAATCCTAAGAGAGTTTTCAATTTTTTTCTCAAGTATTCTTTCCCC